CTTCCTCTTGACCTCTTGCCTGGCAGCTCCATCTCCAACATCCTTCTACCAATATAACCACTATCCCTCCTCTGCACATGTCCAAACCATCTCAATCTGGCCTCTATGACCTTGTCCCCTAAACAGCCGACCTGAGCTGTCCCTCTGATGTGCTCATTCCTAATCCTGTCCATCCTGGTCCCTCCTAAAGAGAACCTCAACATCTTCATCTGTGCTACCTCCATCTCTGCCTCTTGTCTTTTCCTCACTGCTACAGTCTCTAACCCATACAGCATAGCTGGTCTCACTACTGTCTTGTACACCTTTCATTTGATTCTTGCTGCCACTCTTCTGTCACACAACACTCCTGACACCTTTCTCCACCCACTCCAACCTGCCTGCACTCACCTCTTTCCTACACTCCCCATCACACTGGACTGTTGACCCCAAATACTTAAACTCTAACAGTATAAATTTAACTAAATATAATGTAATTTAAAATACATTTAACTACTCCTTATATTGTTAAAAACTGTTTCTGCATTTATTACTTATTCAAGTTACAAATATAACATGTGCATTTGCATAGATGTAAAAATAAATGTTCAGTTTAACAAACCCACATTACTCCATCAATCAACAATCAAAATATTCAAGTAAATAAAGAAAAATATCAAAAACAAGTTATTCAAAACTTTTTTTGTCACAGTCAAGGGGGGCAGAACTATGGCACAGCCAAGTGTGACAGAAGTAGCATTTTACAACAACAACAGCAAGGTGATGCTGCCTGTCCCAGAACACACCAAGTAGATCCCTCCATAAACACCATCTCACACACATCCTCATCCATAGATCATGTTCTGAAAATAAACGCAAAACAAAATGCAAGCACAATCATTAAATTAAACACGTATTCTACTGTTCTTAATCTTGGTTGAAATACATTCCATTTTAATTCAGGTTTTTAAAAATGCTTACCTATGTGTTTTCTGGCCAGATGTCTAACACCGTTTTCCCCTGGCCAGTATGTCAATGTCTGGTTTTACGTCTTGTGCTGAGGCAATCTGTTAAACAGCATGGAGGTTGTCATCGGTAATGCGTGATCTGTGCTTGGTCTTGTTTAGATTCATTAACTGATGTTAGGTAATTTCTTAGTTAGATAGATATGGATTAGAGATCTGTTGTATTAGAAGATGTTTAGTGCAGCAGGATGTCTTCCTCAGGCTGTTAAATGCAAGGACAGTTAAGGCAGAAAGTCTGCCGTCAGGGACGAATGTTATTATGACGGTAAAAGTAACCATAATATTTGTCTTAATGTGTAATGTTATGTCAAATTGTTTTAGATACACACCACGAAAACATTAGAATGAATGGATTTGATCACCTTGTTGTTTTCAAACATAAAAACAGATATATCATGTTCCTCGGGACTAGCTGTCTTTTAAACCATCTTTAGTCATGCTGAATAAAAGAAACATTCAGAAGGATTCACTGTGCACCCTCTTCTCTCACACTGATCCAGCCTGAAGTCAGCATTTTCTTAGATTTGAAACAATAGAACCTGTTAAATATCACCAGCAGTTCCCAGAGGAATGTAATAGTAGTACCTTCAGTGAAAGTACTGCAGTGATAGTGTCTTCAGCGAAAGTACTGTAGTAATAGTACCTTGACACGGAAATATTCACCAGTTAGAAACAGCTCCATTTATCAGATACAATCATAATTTTTTGTTTGTGTTTTTCCACTGGCAAAGTGAATGCATGCATGAAATGTAATGATCAAGGGAAGATGTGAAAAAAAATCATAATAAAAGAGTTAGATAAATTATAGTCTGTAGTAACTCTCTTCTGTCTGTAGTTGAAGCATTTATTGCTTTATATTTAACTTTGAAGGGGAAATCAAAAGCTGCAATTTCCACTCACATTCTTTTATATGGAGCCAATTTTAAGTGGCAGTCACCTAACAAGACTCTACTTAGTGTGAGGTGCGATGTACAGTGGCGTCTTATACAGTGCCTTGCGAAAGTATTCGGCCCCCTTGAACTTTGCGACCTTTTGCCACATTTCAGGCTTCAAACATAAAGATATAAAACTGTAATTTTTTGTGAAGAATCAACAACAAGTGGGACACAATCATGAAGTGGAATGAAATTTATTGGATATGTCAAACTTTTTTAACAAATAAAAAAACTGAAAAATTGGGCATGCAAAATTATTCAGTGTGCAATGGTAACAAGAACCAAAGACCAACACTACAAAGAACTAAAAGTGTCTGAATACTTGAGCTGGGGTTCAAATAATTTTTTCCTGACTGTTATTTAGCTTTTTTCAGCAGATTTTGCCCCATTCAAATGAATGGGAACAATTTTCACATCTTAATAACTTCAGCATACCTTCAGCTAAAACCACCATTTCAACTAATAACTATTAAGCAAATCTTCGCCTACTCATACTGTGAACAGCTTTTTGATATTTTTTATGTTTTTTGCATAATTATCATTTACATTTTATGCCTCATTTCAATAGCCACACTAGTATTTCACAGTGTGTAGGACTACTCTTTCTTTCTCATACACACACACAAACACACAAACACCTACACACCCATACACACAAAACACTACTTCTTTTACCTACTTTGCGGGGACCAATAGGAAAATGTTCACATCTTAATAAGTTCAGTATACTTTAAGCTAGAAAAGCCATTCTGTTATCAAAATGTTCAGGTTTTTCAGAACATTATGGCGTATAGTCAACGTTTTTACAGCTTTCATACTTTTTGAAATATTTAGCATTTATTCTGAAAAATGTGCCCCATTCAAATGAATGGGGAAATTCAACTTCAGCATACTTTCAGCTATTTCAGCTATCAAAATATTCAGCTCTTCAAGGACACTGATGCTACTACTCAATTTTTCTAAATCTCATACCTTTGAAATATTTTGCTTTATTTTGAAAGTTTTGCCCCATTCAAATGAATTGGAAAATTCAACATCAGCATACTTTCAGGTAGATATGCCTTTCAGGTGTGAAAGTGTTCAGCATTTTCAGAGCGATCCTTCAGCACACAGCATCCACACGCATTTACAACAAGAAATGCATTTCTCTAGTTGTGAGATGATGTCCAGCTCCGGCCAGGACCGAACCACCGTGAAGTTTAATACCCACACTGTAAATAAAATTTACTTCTGTCATTTTTTAATCGAGCAGAGGGCGTGACAGAGAAAACGGCTCAGTCATTTCTGATTAAATTACCGTATAATGACAACTTAAAGCGGGCACGTTAAAGCCCTCCGCCTGTGTGAACACTAAGAACCGTTATCTGTCCGTTAACTACAATACTAACAGCAAAACGAACAAGCGAGCCTCAGAAGCTTTTGCAACCTTTGCTCCTTCCCCGACCTCTAATCAGCAGTCACCGCGGGGTGCAGCCCACCTCTCCCGGTTGGACAACGGTGGGAAACAGCCGGGCTTTCCAACGGGGCCCGAGACCCTCCGGCTATAGCCGGCCGGTTAGTGGAGCCTTACGCTGCCGGCTTGTCTGTACACCGACGCAAAGAAAAGAAACAATTCCCTCTGACACTGCGTCAGATTAACCCGTGTTAACTGTGCCATGGAAAGGTCGCCCCTCAAGACAAAGATCCAACTGGGTTTTGAACAAATGTCTAATTTGCTTACGTTAGCTAGAAGCAACACATTACGTTAAAGAGAAGCAAACCTAGATTATGGGTGCTAACGTTAATCCAACAACGAACCTTCCTTTTGTTTGTCCCGGGCTTCTACTAAAATTATGTGTTAGGTGATTACGTTTCGCATAATGTAATTATGCCGGCTGTGCTAGTGTAGAGGCTGTGGCACTTACCCCAGCACGCACAGTTTAGAGTACTTGATCCTGAAAAATCCGTCGGATTTAAAGCGTCTTTGACAAATAGAAATTATGTGCACGGTAAATATGAAGATGGGTTAAATGTTGAATGACATCCAATCTTCAATTCGGCACAATTCAAAAAACACATGGCACAACAGATGTAAGTAAAACGACCCTTTCTTGCACAATTCAAAAAACACATGGCACAACAGATGTAAGTAAAACGACCCTTTCTTTAAACGCCTGACCCCCCCCCCCCCCCCCTGCCACTGTGACTAACTTGGTGCAGGAAGTAGTTGTGTCAAACCGGTTATTTAAAAAAACTACTATTATGAACACAAGCATCGCCTGATGTATGCCTACTACATAACGGTCCTTGTTTATTTGGACAAGGTCTGAACTGATGATGATTATTTTGTTTCTTTTGTCCAGTAAGTAAGGTGATATTGAACAGTTAGATTTTAGTTAGGAGTTCCGTGCACCGTCCTCTCGCTCGAACACTGTGGCCTGCCATCGCGGAATGGAAACAGACACAGACCCGAAATTAGCTACGGGAAGAAACGGCGGGAACAAAGCTTTCTCTACCTTGTTGCGGATCTGGCCGGATGTGGACACTTTTCGAATGAGTTTCTGCGGGGTTCCGGGCTCCTGCTCCGACTCGCTGTCTGACGACTCCTCCGGACACCGGGCCGAGGCGGACTCCGGGACCCCTGCCTCCGCCATCCTGCCATCAGACCCCCTAGGAGGACCAGAAGAGGGAGCACCCCCCAGCGGCGGGGACCGGACAGCACAGTGGAGGCGAGGGGCGCTTACCGCCCCCTCGTGGTCACAACTGATATAGAACTTTTTTCTTTTATTCCACAAAGTGGAGTCTTTGGTTTCCCAAAACAGTCACAAAAGCACAACTAACTGACATGAAAACAAGTAATTGATAGATGTTACACAAGCAACGAGACAGCTGTGGAGACAAACATCAGCAGCAGAAACAGACTTCACATTTAACTTAAGTGTTGCAGGGATTTAAACACACCATTTTAGCTGTGAGTGACCAGCTGCAGGTCACAGGATGGCCAGACTGTGGCACATGCTGACCGGTCACAGCCCTGTGCACAGCTGATGAACCAACATGAAGCAGGAGGAGCTCAGGGAGCAGTCAGTACATTTTGGAGTCGGTTTAACACTGGAGCAGAGAGCATCTATTTTCTTACAGATTGAAGAGGCACAGCAGATTCTCTATGGCTGTAACACTGACCCTGTGACAAGTGGCTCCGTATTCACATCATTATTCTGACTCACCAGAGAATAAAGTCTAACATTTGATCGTGGGGGCATTTAAAGTTGCCATGTCGGAAAAGTGTTTACATGGCCTTCGACACAAGCTACAACGTAACCGTGCGCATGCTCGTCATCGGTGAGTTCTCGCACTTTATCAAATAGCACTACGGCCTTGGACCCTAACGTAATAAAGAAACAGTATGAAATCTAATGTGTGTTTTGCAATCGCATCATAACTTTAGGTCAGACATTGTGACATCCATAGCTCACTGATTTTATATAATACAGATACAAAAACCACTTGTACAATTTTCAGCCACCCTGTTTAGACTTGTAGTCTAAATCTCCTCTATGCTGTATAGTCTTTTTAGTGTGCCACCCCAAGATTTTCACTGGCCCCACCTGTGCCCCAACTAAATATTATAACAAAATTCTCACACCCCATCAGGTCTTTTTTGCAGGTACATTTTACCTGCAGTTCTGTTTTATGTTGCTCTAAATATTTATATTTCGTTTTTTGTTCTGATCACACACATTTTGACAAATGTGATAAAACTGCATTTTACATTTGATGCAAAAAGAATCAAATTTAACATTTCCCTTGAAAACATAAAATTTGCATGTGCTTTTGCAGGTACTGAAATTTGTTTGTCAAAATATGTGTGTGGTGTTTGTTTCTCATGGTGTTATGTTGTTTGTTCTCCATTGCTGCTGAAACACTGAAATTTCCCCATTGAGGGATCAATAAAGTACCTACCTAGCTACCCTACCTACCTTTTATGGGATTTTACATATTTGCTCATTTCACACATGACAGATTCATTTATTTGTGTAACCACCAGGACTGGATTACTCATACTCAGCTTCTGAGCAGCAGCAACAAACATACAGCTTAGTAAACCTCCATTACTGTTACAGTTTGCAGGTCAGAGAAACATTTCACCATCTGCAGATTAAAGTCTGCCTCTCTGTACAACGCCAAACATGCAATAAACAGAGACAGAGTGAAGAAAAATAAGCACAAACAGGTTTCACTACTCATGAACTGACACTGTTTCCCACTAGTCTGTTTAAGGTTGGAACAAGCTGTCACCGTCCTACCTCAGCAGATTTAATTCTCTAACAGTGAACTGATCACAAGCATTTTTACAGTGAAGCTTCTGCTTCTATCTGCTCGTTACCACCTTTCAGCCTGCACCGATGCACAGACCAAACACAGTGTGCCTGAGAAGCCAGAGTTTCATGAAGACAGACAGTGAAAAGCAACAGTCTGTTTCAGCTTTTTGGTGTGTTACAGGTGTCACCTGCAGCGCCCCCCGCAGGCCGCACAGGCCATTACAGTCACAATATGGCAACAAACGACATCCTGCTGGTGTGTCCTGACGTGGTGCTACAGGAAACTCCAACAGGTCTGTGGCGGCCATGTTTGTAGTTCTCAGGCCTCGGTGGGATACTCATCGTCGTCCCCATGCATGACTCCCTTCAGGTAGACTCGTTTAAACTCCTCAAACACCATTTCGCCCGACTCCCTGCGGCACAGAGGGACACAGAACTGAGCACCGAGCTTCTGAGTCATGCTCCATCAACTCATTTCACATCTTGGACACTGAACTCAAACGGTTTGAATTGGTCACCACTGCTAACAGTGCAGGAACCAGGGCGCATGATGGGACCTATCTGTCCTCCATGTTGTCAGTAGTTTCAGTCTTCTGACACTGACATGAACTAGAATCTGTCCTGGCCCAGGTTGTGGCGGCGGCTGCAGCCAGGGTCCCTACATGGACTCAGGATTTCAGTCTGACGCCAAGAGGATGGAGGAATGTCTGCTGAGCTGCTCCTCTCTAAGATGATCTGGACTAGATCTTAAATCTCCAGTTCCACTAAATCGTACCAGCACTGTGAACCGGGTTGACAGATTATTATAGTGAATTAGTGCATCATGTACTGCACACAGCCAGACGGTTGCTGTAACCGGATAAAACCCTTCAGCTAGTGAAATCTATCAATGTAATGCCAACAGACAAAGTCAAAGTTCAGCCGGCTGTGGGTTGGAGCTGTTTGTCTCTTCCAATCTCCACACCTCAAGTCAACTTCAGAAACAGAAACGCTACATGCAAAACAAAGACATGACTGCAGACAGAGAAACAATGGCCACTGCCGTGTTGCTTGTGGCCTTTGTTTCTCTCTAGGGCCGTGCTCCGTTGTAGAAGGGGTGAGGGTCTTTTTACATGTCTGTGCCCAGGGGCCCACTGTCTCACAGTCACTCCATGGGTTCACTGTGTTGTAACTGGTGCATTGGAATAATGAGACGTTTGTTTCTGCATCACTAACTCATAACAAGGACACTTTCATAAAGTGTTGACCTACACTCAACTTGTTCATTCATTGCACAGAGAGACAACAGGGGCCCTGTAGAAGGATAATCTGGCCCAAATCACCGTGAAGTGTGAACCCTTCTTTTATTTCAAGAACTGAATATTTATAGTCTTTAGTCACTTTATTGTCTCTGTGTTATTGTTTTGTGTTTAATATGCTGTGTTTGTGTTTTTCAGGCTTTGTGATTTGAGTCTTTGCTCTGATCTAAATGTTAGACCCAGAAAATGTCAGAAAGCTATTAAACATGGAAAAAGTCCTCACAGTGAACTTACCCCTGTTTGGCTGGAGACAGTTCAGACAGGAGATGAGAGACAATGATGAAAGAGAGAAAAGAGAAAAGTGACATGTGAATAACATCACTTTTCATTCGCAGTTCAAACTGATGAAATCTCAGCCTGGAAAAGATTTGCTCAGCATCAACATGACAAGTTCCCTAGACTCTGAAGTTTTACTCAGAGATTTGCCTGGTTCTCCAGAACTGCCTTCTTTCACCTGCACCATGTTGCCAAAACATCCTGTCTCAAAGTGATGCTGAAAAACTGGTCCATGCATTTGTTACTTCCAGGCTGGACTACTGTAACTCTTTACTATCAGGATGTCCCAATAATTCCCTAAAAAGCCTCCAGTTAATCCAAAATGCTGCAGCCAGAGTACTGACAGGAACTAGCAAGAGAGATCATATCTCTCCCATATTAGCTTCTCTCCACTGGCTCCCTGTAAAATTCAGAATAGAATTTAAAATCCTTCTAACATAATCTTAAATCATCATATCTTAAACATCTCGTAGAGCCTTATCATCCTAAGGAAGCACTTGGCTCTCAGAGTGCTGCACCGCCACAGACTTTGGCTGCCGTGAGGCATCTGTCAGGCTGTTAGCTCCAAGTCACAAACATCAGAGTTTCTCACAAATATAGATGTTTCCATGTTACTGTGAGCGGGGTGGACTGTAACTGGTTCAGGTTTAGGATGCATCGGTCTGAAAGGGACCTCCAGAGACACCTCACTGTAAGACATGCAGTGTAACACACCTGAGGTGATCTGACACACTGGGTAACAAGCACACTGTGGGCAGTTTGTGTAGTGCAGCGTACCTGGATCCCACCGTCCTGTCCCCGTGAGCAGAGAGAACACGAACAGGTGTGAGCACTTTACACTCTGTAAACTGGAACACGTCAAACACATTGTTCAATCATTTTTGAAACTTGTGGTCAGGATTTTCACACCACGGTGTCTCACACTGTCTTGTGAGGATGTGAAGCTCAGACTTCAGTCAGAGCTCACAACTGTTTTCATCTGTGTTCTCATCAAATGTCGCAATCTACAGCTGATTGGAACAGCCGCTGTGAGTGACCGCTGATCTTTGGTTGAGCATCGGAATTACTCATGAAGTCTGAAAACACTCAGAGAGTGAATATCACATATTTATATTTCTAAGTAACTCAGTTAACAGGAAGTGTTTCAGCTGAGTTCCTGGCATGCTGAGCGGTTTAGACTCATCCTGAGGCAATCATCCTCAGTACCACCTTGTAGGAGACCAGGATCCCCTGAACCTCCTTGAGCAGCTCCTGCTTCACACTGACACAGAGACACTGGGTTACCATCATGATGCGTTTGTGGGCAGGTAGTGTTGCAAACACCTTAGGGATGTTTTCAAGGACAATCAGGCAACACAGTCTCTGCTCTCCACTGCTGCACCACAGGACAATCAAGTAACTGATCGCCTCTGATGGGAGTCCGTGATTGACTCTGCTTTAAAGGAGTGAATTCGCTCAACACTGAAATGCACCTTAATGCTCCTAATCATTCCATCACATAACACTATCATAGAGGGCGTTCTGTCTCTGAGTACTCTTACTTTGATAAATGCAGTACAATTGGCTGCTAATACTTTAAATACATTTCTGAATGTCTGACTTGTCATGTAAATAAAGTGAAGTTCTGTCACTGGAGCAGAAGCTGCATGTTCCCAACCTGAAGCTGCCAGGTTCAATGTTCATTAGCAGCCGGTGATTAATAAGCACTGCAAACAGTGTGTGGGTGTGCTTTCTGTGAGCCGTCTCTGACATGCTGGAGGAAGCCAGGTTGGTGTCCTCATGCTTGAGTTGTCTGTCCAGAGCGAGTCCTCTCCACTC